GCCGAGGCGGTCTTGGACCCCTCGGCGCCCGGGAACTCCCCCAACCTCTCAAGTGCAGAGGTTCGGGGTTTCTCCTTCATCATGGGACGCTTATCCCTGGATTGGGCCTCTTGGGAGGAGGTATCCTGCGCCATGACCCCCTCGGTGTTGCCAATCCCCGGGGGAGGATTGTTGAACAAAGGAGGGAGTGGTGGCAGTTGGATAACGTTTCCTCCAGCATAGGGCTGAAGGGGTGTTTGAGAGACGAGGGCTCCGGAATTGAGAGCCATGTTTTGAACAAAGGCCGCAAAGGCAGCTTGAAGATCGATGGCCGGGGCCAGAGGGGGAACTTGGTTCTCACTCCGATCTCTCCTTCGATTATCAAGGCCAATGCGGGCATCAAGGGCATTCTTCTGCAGCTGCTGACGTAGGTCAGCGGTGGCTTGCTCTAATTCGAGGATGATACCACCCTCGGGTACTAAGAGCCTGTTGGAGGCCTCAGCCCCGTTGGTTTCGCCGGGGGCTACGTGGTTCTCCTCGAGGGTTTTGGACTGAGCACGAGTTTTTTCCCATTTTTGGTAGGTGTTTTGTGTTTGGTAGAGGGGGAGGGTTTCTTACTTGATTTGTTCAGACCTCTCAATGAGAGCACCAAATGACGGATAGTCTACCCGGGGGGTATCCTATTCGAGGGGTTATTGCGGGAATAACTAGAGAGAAGTCAGAGTAAATAGGAGGAGAGAGAGTCGATTTTATTAAATGAACTCAGCGTGTGAAAGTTGGGATCTGGATCGTTTACGAGGAGAAATGGGCTGCTATTTATAGCAGCAATAAATGCGATGAGAGTACACGTGTCAGTAATCCGACGGACGAGGGGTCACATCAGCCGGGTGGCACCGGCAGTGGTACGTTCACCGCATTGAATACGGTTGGCGGATGTGACGTGGCATTAAATGCGGTGGTTGGATGTCTCCAAAAGGAATCTTCGATGTTTGAGCATGTTCGGCCGAAGGCTCCTTGTGTAGCCGAGGCCTCCACGTGACCAAGGACCCCTGTGTAGTCGAAGGCCTTGTGTTCAGCCGAAGGCTTCCCTGATACCGAGGGCTTGATAATGCCGAAGGCTCATGTTTTTCGCCGTTTTCTCCCAGTAGCTTCTTATGCCAGAGAAGGCTATCCCGTGAGTTTTGGAGCCTTCGGCCAAGGAGGTCGAAGGCACCCCAGTGTGTATTCTGGGCTATTTTGAGGCTTGGGCCGTTGCATTTGGGCCTGAGTTGTTCTCTGGGCTCAATGGACTTGTGTAGGAGAAGTAGGAGTCTATGGACCGGGGGTTCCTGGGCCATATACTCCATCAGATGGATCATAAAGGCATTGGCCAATGCAAAGATATATTCATTTTGGATATCGAATATGATCATTATGGATCATCTAGAAAGATTGAGAGATAGAGACTAAGTTATTGGAATAGACATAATATCAAGTTCTAGACTTAGTTGAATGTTTATTGAATGAAAGGACCGTATCACCATGAGTTATATATTACAGGGAGTTTATATAGTCTTCACAAATGTCCTTATATATTAAGATTGTCTGGTAAATCGTTTAGGGATTCTACTAAGACCTTAATTTGATTAGTGCTTAATATATAAGGCCCTATGGGTCACACAACAAGTGATTATACCTTCCGGTTGAATTGTTAGAAGGAATTAAACCAAAGATTCATTATTTTTTTGGCTTGAGAATATGATGGAATAAAGCAAAATGGATCACTAAAGATTCATTATTTTTTGTCTTGAGAATATGATGGAATAAAGCAAAATGGCTCACTAAACTGTCTGCGCTTCTTTGTTATGAAGCAACAGTCAGTCCATGCAATTTTGGATGTGATTTTCACTATGGGTCATCCGGAAACAGTCTCTCTGTGCTTTAGTACAGGGGTAAGACTACGTACATCCAACCCCCCTTACCCCACCATAGGTGGGAGCCTTTGCGGCACTGGGGTAAATGAAAATGAATGAGATTAAATAATATTTAATTCATAATACTGAAAATAAGATGAATTAATTATTGATTAGATTAATATATTTAATTCAACATGTTGAGGGATTGTTCTATTTGATAGAATTAATTAAGTGTGATAAATTAGATTTATTATACTTAATTAAGATGTATTTATAATTAAATAAAGTAGATATTTTTCTTGAATGGAATTTAGAATTAAAGTGTATTCAAGAAAAGATAAATAAATATTAGTAATAATAAAAGTACATTAAGACAATGAGGGTGGCGGCAGCCCCCCATTGCTCTTTACTATGTACGGATAGTTTTTATTATTATTATTATTATTAGTATTATTATTATTATTATTATTTAATGTTATATCTTTATTTAATTATTAGTCCTCGTTGGGCTAGAAACATTAACGTGGAAGACTTTCATTGTGATTGGGAAATCTAGTTTAGAACTAGTATAAAAACATCGTTCTCCTTCATAATTATGTGACTAGTTTTTAGATTCAGTATTATCAGTTTATTTCCCTACGAAGAGATTTCCTAGTCTTTCTCTATGGGAGATCTAACCGTTCTTTCGAAAAGGAGAAATCATGTGGATGCCTAAGGTCAAGGATTATCACCGCTAGGCTGGAGCATCTGTAAGTTTTATCTCAGATCTATTATTATTGTTATATTCGTTATTTTGTCATAATCAGGGAAGATTTGTTTGGGAAAATTTCAACCTTCCACTGCTGTACTTTCGAGGTACGTTACACCAATCTCCTAACAGGTGTTACACCAAGCTTGCTCGAAGTATCCCCACTTCACTCTGGTTACTTTGGCACCTGTCTTTTGCATGAAGAATACTTTTGAAAGATTCAAAAGATTTTTCCTCCAACGTACTCGGTACAAGATGTGTAGCTTTAGCTTTCGGAGAGGTCGAAGAACAAGGATGAACTAGTGAGAGTTGGATGAAGGATTTGAATATATATCTTTCAAGCCTTGTTTGAATTCTTGTGTAGAATGAAGTATTTTGCTCTTAAGAATTTGTACATTGTATTTCAAAGTTCGTTTGTAGCTGTTCTGTTATTCTAAGTGTATCTTTTATACTAAGAGTGGTCTTTCTGTTGGAGTGTAGAAGACAACTTCATCAAATGCTTGACCTGTAGACTTGATCGGTCAGTTCAGATATTCTCGGCAACTTATTATTTTGGGAGTATTAAATATTATTCTTCTGGATACCACGGTCAATCACGTGCCATAAATATTTTTAAGGATGGATAGCATTAAATGTGCATTTAATGCACAACTTCATACGTCTCTCGTTAAGAGGCTCCCCGTCGTTAGGATATATCCCATCAGTATAACGGAAATATCAAAGCCTTGAGCAATTCTGTGCAAGGGAGATGTTCTGAACCACTTCTGTTGTAGGTTGTTTTGCTCAAGAACTAAAGTGTTCCCAACACTTCAGTCTTAGCGGTTCTGCCCAAGGTGAAGCAGAAGCACGCTATTCTGGCTGTCAACTATTCTAAAAGTTACAACAAAAAAATCTAAAGACATTTTATCTACAGGTGTACTCCAAATTCCTAATTTGTACAACATCATCAAAAGCTAAATACAATTCATTTCTTATGGGGATTGTCACCAACCTTGGCAAGGGTCGACCTCAACTTCGGTTGCAGTTTTGGGTTATCTCGATGATCTTAGAGCTGGTTTTGAGCTTGACCATAGTGACCATAATGGATTCTAGAGATCATTCATCGTAAATGTTGATACTCTTGGAGTATATGTCAACATACTCGTCAATTAGTATTTTCCACCCTTTAATATTTATAAGAAATTTTTAATAAATAGTTTCAATATAAAAAAAAGTTAGTCATAGTACTATCGAGTGCTTCATTTAATTTTCATATATTATGATTTATGAACTTAGTTAATAATAATTGAATTCATTATAATTATTTAGCTTTCCATAACAAGGGCATATTGGGATATTTGTTTTGTGAGGAAAGTGTCAAATGAGTACATTAAGTTATACGCAGCAGATTAAAGAGTACATTATATTGCAATTATGATTCACAAGTAAAGAGAATTAAAAACAGTGTTAATTAAGTACAAATCAGTGATATAATCCACATGATCCACTTGCTAAACATTATATGCATACAAACCACTCTGCACTTTAATTCTCACTTCAATGAAGCCACGAAACGCATCGCCGCACCCACAACACTAGGCAACTCCAAATTTTTCCATCAGCAAAGAACCTTTCGAGTACATAAAACTACCAATCAACAATGGAAGCAAGAATATTAACCCAAAAAAGCTATTCCATTTGCTTGTATGGGATATCAGTAGCTTCAAAAAACGTGTACGAATAGGTATTGTACATGGTTCAAATTGGACAAAACTCCTGAGATGTAAAGTCTATTTCGCCCTTTGCACTGTCTGCCTTTTTGGGATAGCAAATTCTGGTGATGTTTGGCAACACCCTCCATTGACAATTGTCACATTCCCCAAAAATTTGCTGAGTTGTTCATCATTCCTCACTGCCAATTGAATGTGCCTGGACACAATACGAGTGTTCTTGTTATCCATAGCAGCATTGCTGGCCAATTTCGACTGATTTCGCTGCCTTAGGCTTTTCTCTGCCGGCGATGGCGGCACCTTTGCCTAAACCCTAAAGACAACTTGCGAAGGCTAAACTTCGATTAAAATGCTTTTATATTTTTAGACATAAATGGGGATGAATATGATGCTGACCGGGACACCATTATTTACCACATCAGCGATTATTTAACACTTTTTTTTTTGAGTTTATATTCCTTTGAGCTTTCATCTCATTTCCTCTTGACCAAACACAAACATGTACCAAAATCCCCTAGCTGCTCATCTGGTAAACCAAACACGGCCTAAGCGATTAGAAGCGGCGACAAGGAGATATGGACAAGTCATTTTCTTGGGCGTGCAGTCCAGACGGACCCCACCTATCCAATAGTTTGCGGCCACGTGGGTTTGACCACCCTGTAAAGGTTTCGCCACTAGAAAAGATGAATCCACCATCTTCCTTCTCCCCCCTCACGTCCATCGGCGGCAGTTCACCGGGATCTGTAAATTTATCGCCGGAACGTTCCACTACTTCTACCCACTCTCCCCTTTTACCCTCCAGTATGCTCTCGCCTGTGGGAGGACTGTAATTGCATTTAACTATCGGTCAATTGCGCTGGAGATTTGGGTGAAGTGCGAGGAACTGAGAGATGTACGTCGTTCCCCCTCCAAAAGGGTCCGATCCACCATCTGGATCCACCAACGGGTCGGACGATTTACGAATTTACCAGACATGGAAAGGCAGCAATGTCAGTTTCGCTCTCCTAGGATACTCTTTTCCTCTGCAATGTTTCTTAGTCACTGTTTATCAATTTCTCTCTACCTAACTTTTTTACCGAACAGCTTTTCTCTTATGTTACTTGTCAATCACTTACTTTGAATCATGAGCTACTGTGGAGTACTGATTAGAGTTCTAAGCATTTAATTAACTTCAAATTTAAGCTGTACTTATGCAAAATAAATAGTCTAATATCATCTCTGATAGCACATTGAACACAAGGCCATTAGAATACAGTGTAAAGTGGAACGGACCTGAACCCGAGGGATTTGTATGTGGATCAGTTGTATACTGTCATTTCTGTAAATGAACCAAGAGCCTAGCGGAGTTGAAAATAATTGCCAAAGGTGGGTTTATATAGATCTTCGACCTTCCTTTAATAGATCTTTGACTCAAGCTGTATTTACTGAGTATCATACTGAGATGCCAAGGTTTCTTTGGAATATTTTCTAGTCCCGTTTCCCAGGTCTTTAGAAATTTGATTTTTTGCTGTTTACTTGTGTTACCTTTCTAAAAGGAAATATGAAGAGCTACTTCCATTTTCCTGAAAAAATTTACATTTGTTCGAAAATTCATGTGAGATTTGAAAACCAGAAACCTTTAGGGATTTACAATCCGAAAAGGTGTATTATGCGGATAAATAATCTTTGGATGTAGCCCCTTCTTATACTTTTCAGTTTCTCCACTTGAAATTAGAAAAAGACCTTGAAGTCAGCACATTTGATCCGGATATGTGATTAGAAATTTGATCCAAAGTTGTTATGTTTGTCCCTTTTCTACATCCAGCTGTCCACTATCTATTAAAAGTGTTCTTGCTGATTTTTGTCATCAACTTCCTACAATCTGTTTGTCCCAAATCCCAATTGATATTTCTCTTGATTTATAGTTATTCGTTTTATAAGGTTATGGCATTTCCGTTACTGAAGTTTCTTTTTTCTTTAACTTGTTTTTCTGTTTGCAGAGATTTTTTCTTCAGGGAAGGTTTATATTTGGACCGGATGCCAGATCATTAGTGTTGACCATTTTCCTTATTGTAGCCCCTGTTGCAGTTTTCTGTGTCTTTGTTGCTAGAAAGCTTTCTGATGATTTTCCTAATGACTGGGGATTTTCAATTATGGTTGTGGCAGTGGTATTTACATTTTATGTAAGTGCTTTCTTCTTCCTTTTTTTGCACAAAACTGTAGCTGTTAACTTTCATTTACTGTCTTCAAAGATTGCGAAATGAGAAGTGAGGATATTCCACTCCCTGTTTCATTTTCTTCGGATATTAAGTGACTAACTTTATTGTATAACATGGTGTTCCTCTCGTTTAGATGCTTTCTGTTTATAATAATGGTGAATACGATATGATTATTCTCATTTCTTTGTACTTCCTTTGACCGATTAAGTCAACGGTATAAAAGGTAGATGGACCATATATTTTCCCGCGGATAAGTTGAATTTCCTGCAAGCCCTCACCGTAGCTCAGATTACCTTTATTTCTTGTTACTATATAAGATTGCGAGATAAGATACTCCTTAAACAGTACCACCACACGAGGAAGCATGCAATGGTGAATCTTGGAACATGTTAGCTGAGTAAGGAACCATATCAGTGCATTTGAACAGGATGATGCAATTAAGCCTATGTTTGATAGCAAAGAAATACAGTAGAAAATAAGAGAAGATAAATGAAGGGTAATGCATGTATTTTGCCATTTTACCCTCATTTCTTTTGATAATGTATAGGTGTCGTAAGGGTAACAACATGTTTTTTTATTAAGAAACAAATTTAGTTCAAATATTGTCTGTGCATTTCCATTCTTTATATTTTCAACTAAACAAACCTCCCTCCAATTATTCTCCTTTCATCTCTCATCTACCTATTGTTTGAGCATGGTTGGGAACTCATTTGGAATATTGGGAAAAGAGGAAGAACAAAGTAAGCCTAACTGCCTAAGCTAGAAGTAATCAGTTCTGGACCTTGTCAAGACACACAATAATTAATTCTTCGAAGGTAGTTAATTAATCGATATTGGAGACCTTTATTTTGCTATATTACAACAAGAGCTCTAATCATAATAGAAAACGTAAAGCTAGAGACTAATAAGAAGCTGGCCAAAACTAAACAAGAAAATAACAATAATTATACCACTGTGGAACTACTCCTAATTAGTAATGATAAAAATAGTGATAAACAATAATAATAATAATAATAATAATTACTATAGATACGCCTGTATCACGTACTTCACCTCCCTCTATATTTGTATTTTCAAACACAGGGTAAGTGAAGTGCTTCAATGTGCTGTACATCTCTTTAGATTTTGAGGACCTTGACATTCCTTAAAATTGAAGTTATGAGTTCAAAAGTGGGATATCTGACTAGATCCTCTAACATGTGTTTAAGTGTTAGCATTCGATACTCCCCCACCCCGCAGAATGTTGTCCATAGACATGTATGGCTTAATCATTACGGACTACAATGTTCCTTTTATTGTTTATTGGACTTGGGGTTCGTCTAGCATCATTTTACATGGGGAGCATATTGGCGTGCAATTTTGATGACTTTACAATAGGACTCATTCGTACATGTGGAAAATTTATTCTATGCTGCCAATAATCCTATACTATGGAAGAAGTAGAATCCATTAGCCTAATTTCAGATTAGGTTTTAGGTTTCTTGGGTGATTCTTATATTATTTTCCAGTGATGTTACTTCATTACTTGCATTTTTGTCAATTTGCTTACACTTCTCATACAAGGTTTGGTTTTCCACCCTACTATCTATTCAATTTATGGTCATCATCTAAGTATCTATCTTGTATCAACAATATAATCCTTCAGGTTTTGGTTCTTCTCCTACTAACTTCCGGAAGAGATCCGGGAATAGTTCCACGTAACGCACACCCTCCCGAACCAAAAGACTTTGATGGAAACACCACTGAAGTTGGTGGACAAACCCCACAGCTACGCCTACCTCGGATTAAAGAGGTTGAGGTTAATGGAATTACTGTGAAGGTCAAATATTGTGACACCTGCATGCTTTACAGACCACCGCGCTGCTCTCATTGTTCGATATGCAACAATTGCGTTGAAAGATTTGACCACCATTGCCCTTGGGTCGGGCAGTGTATTGGGCTGGTAATGTTTATTTTGCACCAGTTACTGTTGATATCAATTGTGTAGTTGCTGCCCTTGTTTGGTAGTAGGAGTATTTCAGGGGGGGTAGGGCCAAAGGTGTAGAGTGACATTTATTTTAGTAACTTATCATTAAATTTAGATGTGGAAAAGAAAGTGTAGGAAAAAATTGTGTAGAAATGCATCAATTTACTAAACATGTACTACCTCAGTCCACCAAAAAGAAAGTCTTATTTAAAAAATTGTTTTGTCTCAAGAAAAAAATCCTAACTGAATAAAGAGAAGTTACTATTGTGTGTGTGTGTGTGTATAATGTAGCTTTTCAAAAAAAGAAAAACGCTCCTTAAACAAGTTAAATTTAGACAAGCGAACAAAAAAAAAAACTAGAATTGATGGTTTTCAATAGTTGTACCTTGGTAAAAACAAGATGTTTTTGGGAAGGGATGGAGGTAGTACTCTCTAGTAGTTACTTTTATTGTCTAAGAGTAAAAAATAGATATAAAATAATAAACAAAAAATCTCCTAACCAAACAAGCTCCTGTTTTTTCTTGAATTAATAGAATCGAGTCTATTTTCTCCACGAATTTGCTTTCAGAAAACTTGATGTTTTTTTTTGTGGGGGTGCAGAGGAACTACCGGTTCTTTTTCATGTTTGTCTGCTCCACCACGCTTCTTTGTATATATGTATTTGGTTTCTGCTGGGTCTACATTAAAAGGATCATGGGTGCTGAAGAGACGACAATATGGAAGGCAATGATCAAAACCCCAGCTTCTATGGTTCTAATAGCTTACACCTTTATTGCAGTGTGGTTTGTTGGTGGTCTTACTGCGTTCCATTTATACCTCATCAGTACAAATCAGGTAAAAAGAATTCCTTAAACCTCAAGAAGTATTTATGGATTGTGGTTCTGATTATATTAAGGTTTGTTTTGTAACGTTTCTCGTTTTTATGTTTTCACTTTTTGGTGTTTGATTCTTCTTGTCCAGTTTCTTAAAATATTAAACATGCTCAGGGACGGAGGTAGGCATATGGGTAGAAGGGCTTTGGCCCCCCAAATTTTTTCCACTAGCACTAGTATTAGATATGAAATAATCAGAAAAGATTGGGTCAGAATTACCAGATAGAAGCCTCCATTTGAGATACTTCCGGGTATAAATTTTTGATAAAATTTTGTGACCATGTATTGCATGAAGTGTAAATTATGTCCAACCGGAAAGTCAATTAAATAAGTTACAGAGAAACACTGCGTTTTTCATATATATTTTGACGCAGTGTTTTTCAATAATTTATTTAACTGACTTGCCAATATAATTTTAAACTGAAATTCGGTGTAAATAATCTACACATCATGAAGAACATGTCACAAAATTTCATCAAGAAAATCCACTTGGAACCACCTCAAACATAGGCAGCTGAACGGCTGATGATGTCAGATAGTTTTGACAGGATCATTCCTCATGAAATAATATACACACTCCGTATATATGATTAAAAATATGAAAAAATATGTTGTACTCCTCAAATAGATCTTATCTAGTTCTATTAAAAATAATTTGATTAAAGTTTGCAAAAATAGGAGTGAATAAGTCCTATTTTGATAATAAAACAATGATAATCCTATTTATGAACTTTATTTTTATTTTAGACCTATTTAGAGAATTTTCTCTTTATTGTTTGTGTTCCTTCTTGAGTCTTGACCCCCCATGACTAAATCTTGGCCCTGTCCCTCAACATGCTTGACATGTGACATGTCTGTTTTGTACATAACTCTATTTATTCGTGAATAGTGCGGGTGTTTTGCATTTCGAAGTTAGCAGATAGCGGATTATGTTAGCGGGTTGTTAATAGCAGATCCAGTCAAGTGGTTTGACTAGAGGAATAATTTAACGAGTTGCAAAAAAATGTTTGATAATTTAGCTGTTTGGCCCGTAGCAATTAGTAAGTAATGCCATGTTTCAAAACACTATTCCAAAACACTGCTATTTATAGCATTTCTATTTCAGCCGTTCTGTCCAAAAACTCTAGGGCCGAACAACTGTTTACCACTCAACATATTTACTTATTGAAAACGCTAAAAAGGGGTCACACTGCTATGTTTCGCTAAAACTCCATTTACCAAACACCCCTAGTGAAAACAATGTGTATACATAACAAAAATAATACGAAGCCACTTTTTGACATGAAATTCAGTCAGTTAAGACATCAAAAGTCATATCAAACCATCAAATAAATGATACTCCGTATTTAGAAATAGGTTCACTGATTTGATATTTTTCAATGATTTTTTGATAAGTTAAATGATTGGATATTTTGCCTCAAATAAAAAAAATTATTGGATTTTTAATAAAAAGATGCTCCATCACTTTTGTTTCATATCAAATAGTTGGTATTTTTAAAATTTATTTCCAAAGTACATATTATTCTTAGAAGATAGTTCGAATTATTTAAACTTATTTTCCCAACAATAAAAACTTCAAATTCATGTTTGCAACAACTTACAAAATTCCATGAGGAAAAAACTTTACAGAAGTACTCTTTGTATTAGTAACAGTTTGCGACAGATAAACTACATTCTAAGCACCCCTAATAAAAATATTACTCCGTAAAACATAAGCCGATCCAAAGACCTATAAATTTTTAAACATTAACTTTTAGACTTAAAATACAAACTTGGACGGTGGCTGGGATAACAGGAGGGCGACAGCTAGGGTTACACAGCAGTTAGGGTTTCATGATGGTGGTGGTGCGGCGCGTAGGATTGGGATTGAGGGTTAGGGAAAAGGGTGGGGAAGGGGAAGGTGCGAGGGACTTCGGGCTGCGACGGGGCAGGGGGTTGGGGGAGTGAGGAGCAATTGCGGGGAAAGTGGTGGCGACGGCAGGCCAACTGGGTGGCGTTAGGATGGTGGCCGGGTTACAAGGGCATAGGGTGGCGATTTCCGCGTCGGGTCAAGTGGTCAACTACTGAGGGTCACTAGCGGCGATAAGAAGTCAGGTGGGCGGCTGGGCGATTGTTCATTGGGTCGCAGGGGTGGGCTCATTGAGGTGTTGAGTCACTGATGTTTTGGTCACTGTAGGGTGTCAGCGAGTCATTGGGGCACATGAGTTTCCGTGGGTCACTGAGGCTTTCTGGAGTGTCACTGGAGGGTGAGGCCTTCTGGGTGTCACCCGGTGATGTCACTGAGCGGGATGTAGGCTTTCAGTGGTGTCAGTGCCTCAGTGGGGATGTCACTCGGGCTTTGAGAGGATATATATCAATCATCATTTACCCCAGTGCCGCAAAGACTTCCACCTACGGTGGGGTAAGGGGGGTCAGATGTACGCAATCTTACCTCTGTACTAAAGCACAGAGAGACTGTTTCCGGATGACCCATAATGAAAATCACGTCCAAAATTGCATGGACTGACTGCTGCTTCATAACAAAGAAGAGCAGACAGTTTGGTGAGCCATTTTGCTTTATTCCATCATATTCTCAAGCCAAAAAATAATGAATCTTTGGCTCCATTGCAAGTTTGGTAATATCGTCTCGTGCTTTTATGAGTTTCCGTTTTCAGGATTTATTTAGTCACCTTTTATACTAAAAATGGTCTCTTTTTTGTCCAAACCAACATTTGAGTAAAATTAGTGAAAACCCCAGAAAAACATTGTACAATAACGCATTTTGCGCGTTTAGGACCCAGAGAACAGCAAGGAAAGGAAAATGGTTCGTAATGAAAATATTATTAATGTTTAGTTTAGCTTGACCATGGAAAATACGGAAACAAACAAATATGATATCATTTAAATATATTTAGAATTTTAATCTTTATATTTGGAGTAGTAGAAATGTTAAAATAAAATGGGTCCGATCAAATATCTATAATTTGATTTATTGATGTTGAACTTCGAACATTTCATTAACTAGAATATTTTGGTCTCCCAAACAAGCTCTTTAGAAAAGAACAAAAATCAAAAGCATTTCCAAACAATACGTGACTTCTCACCCTCAGAACATCAACACTGAATTTATTGTGCAGACAACATATGAGAACTTCAGATACCGGTACGACAGGCGAGCGAACCCATACAACAAAGGAGTGGTGCAGAACTTCATGGAGATATTTTTTACTGCTGTCCCTCCATCAAAAAACGATTTCAGGGCAAAGGTACCTAGGGATCCTGCAATACCTGCCCGACACACCTCTGTGGGGGGGTTTGTGAGTCCAAATATGGGCAAGGCTGTGGACGACATAGAGATGGGAAGGAAAGCAGTTTGGGGTGGTGGTGATGTTGGGCCCCACGAAGGTGGTGGTCAACTAAGTGACAACAACGACATCAAGGAGATAAGAACAACGGTTGATGAAGGTGACCGAGCAGCGATGCATCATCCACGGCGGTCAAGTTGGGGAAGGAAAAGCGGGAGCTGGGAGATGTCACCAGAAGTTCTTGCTTTGGCGTCTAGAGGAATGGGAGAACCCAACCCGATGGGTGGTAGCGGTGGCAGTGGAGGCTAAAGTGCTTTAAAGCTGTGATCAACATCAGTATACTAGTGGGCATGGTGTGGGAAACCTATTCTGTATAATGATGATGTCTGACATTTGGAAACTTTATCACAACGATCAAGTTGTTGCTGTTGTTGTGCATTAGGAAGCTGATAGGTTGTGGAGCAAGTTCTTGATCCATGTTCTGTATCTTATTTGTGTCAAAGTAGTTTCTTTATCACTTGCGAAATCCCATCCCTTCCTCGCCAGTCACCACTCATGGTTGCATGAAGTAGAAAAATTATACGGGGGAACTCTGCAGATCATAGTGTTTGCAATTATGTTATGTGCTTTGTAGTATGAAATGACAGTAAATTAATTGTGCACAATGGAAATCACGCACTTGTCTGTGATGGTGGATAGGCGGTTCTGGTCTCATTGTGAGTTGAACTATCTTTTTTCTTCAATTCTCCGGTCTTTTATGTGATGTGTTGAATACCAAATCCTTTAAATCACTGGTTGACGGTTGACCTGTTGTGGTTTATTACTACAAACCTTTGTGGTTTGTTACTACAAAGTACAAACCTATGTGATCGTTTTCTTTCAGAGAATGAAATATTTAAGTACAATATAGTAGGGATGGGTTGGGACGGGTCGGCCTGGCCTAGTACCATGCAGGCCTGACCCGGCCCGGTGGTACCGGGGGCCCGGATAGGCTGTTTATGGGTGGGCTATGGGCCCTGATTTTAGTGGTCTGGGCCCAGTTCAGGCCATTTTTTTTCAATTTTTTTTTGGCATTGGGCTGTTGCTAGGTTGGGCTAGGTGTTTTGGCATGGTTTGGGGGGGGGGGGGGGGGGGGGTCTAGGAATAAATTAAAAAAGACTAATAAAAAAAGGGGAATTCTATATGCAGCCCATCTTTTACTACTCACAACCATCGGTAGAATTTTTTTTGTATATACCTATATTACCCTTCGACTATTTGTATTACATACAAATCTCTTTCTACTCTCGTTCATCTTAAATTGGAGATGAAGCACATGAACTGCAGATTTACAAAAAGAATACCTACTTGATGAAGTCCAAATAATTGACTGAAATAACAAATTAATCAAAATCAATTTCCCACAATAAAAACAAAAAATAAACATCGATTAGAAGAGCGCTGCTTATCATGAGATTCAACCGGCACTGAAGCTGGTTCGCTGGCACGCTTCAAAGGACCCGCACAGGCTACTGCTAGTATATATGAGTGATTGTATTATTATTATAACAGTAAATTGGTTATATTCCTGATCTTAATTAGCTAGACCTAGATTCAAATCAAGCGTACAATGGATTGGGTGAGATGAGATTGATGGTTTCTCTCTGGTTTCTGTTCATCATCGAATCAAATAGTGCTTCTTCCGTTTTGGGAAGAGAGTAGGAGATATTCTTGCTCCTCCTCCGCTGGCCGTCGTTCTTCAGTCGGATGATGGTTGGAAACCATTCACCCAGGTCACCGGGTGTGGGGGTGCGCTGCCGAGCCATCACTCATCTGGGCGGTTGTTTTCCTCAAGGTTAAAATGGTGACTTAATATAATATTATTCATAATTATTTATTTTTGGGGCTGTATTTAGCAAAATGGAGGCTGCAAATAGAATCTCCCTAAAAAAAAATAACCTGACTCGGGCTCGGCCCGGTATTTGGGCCTTTATCCCAAAACCCCAGTCCCGCCCATTCCCAGCCCGGGGCCCGGTCATGCCTACAATGTAGTCCTCTCGGTTTGTTTATAAGGGGAAAAGCAAACCCTGGGAAGCAAACTGGTTCCAAACTTTTGTTTTGTTTTTTATTTGTAAACTAGTAACTCACCCGTGCGATGCACGGTCGGAGAATTTTTCTTTCAAATTTATTTGGGCTAACTATTCAAATTACACTATCAATTGATGACAACGTCTATCTCCATGCAATATAGATGTAGCTCAAATCAATAAACAAAACACAATTATAATATTATTGTTAAAAATAGAGGACTAAGCATTACTCAAAAGACCAAAAACATCCAACAAATAAGTAGAAACCATAACATTGTAACCCTAAACATTGCTGAACACTTCTTTGAATACAACATTTTGAGTCTTGTCAGTGGTTCCTTCATTTTCATCAAAAATTAGAATTTTCAAACCACAACGATCGGTAACCCTTGATACTGCAACATACAACTGTCCGTGAGTAAAAACCGAGTTTTTCAACAACAACCCAACACGGGACAAAGATTGACCTTGACTTTTATTTATAGTCATAGCATATGAAGTCATAACACGATATTGCCGCCTCTGAAATTTGAAAGGCAAGCTGACATCGGATGGGGTTAATGACAATCTAGGAATTATTACTTTTTCTTTAGCACTCACATTGGTTAAAATCTTTCCCTCCAAACCATAATCACCAAGCCTCGTTAGAATCAGGCGAGTTCCGTTACACAACTCCATTGAATGATCAATATTACACAAAAGCATTACCGGAGTTTCGACCTTTAAAGTTAACTCATGATTCGGTACACCAGATAATTGATACTATTCAAGAACTCCGGTGTGTGCAGTTCTGTCATCATATCGGTTGTACAATCTACCTTAGAAACGCTATCTGAACTAAGATAGGTTCTTGAAACCTGACCAACATTTAGAGTTGTCATATACGCATTAACAGGTTCAACAACGGCAAGCGTGGGTGCTAAAATGGTACGGTCACGCAAACAATTTATATCATCTGCATTTTTAACATACTCGGGGAATATACTTTCAACTAAAGCAGCTATAGGATCTTCATTTATGCGTATCAATAGATCTTCAGGTACAGTGATAGTCACATGATGTATAAACGATTTGGCAGAGAAGTTTTTTTTCCAAGGGTTTATGCATATTCATTGAATGTAAACTGTTTATAATGACCAAGTAATGGGGTGACTTCATATTTATACGAATTGCATATTTTTAACGAATTGCTTGTGTATCTTTAAAAAAACGAATTGCTTGTGTAAACATGCAAATCAGGGGGGTGCAGATATGTGAAAGTGTGATATGTCTTTCTTAAACTATATGTAAATAAATACTATATACAAATTAATGGTAAAATATTCATATAGATCAGTCTACTATTGTAGAGGACAAATTTAGGTATATTTGCATACAATTTTTTGAAACATTTACATAATTATGACTAAAATAAAGAATGTTTATGAAAATGTGACCTCCTAAGTATATTGTCTATTGTCCTTCAAAAAAAGTATAGTGTATTGTAATTACTTTTGATACGACTAGTGAAGTTGACCGTGTCTAAATACATGTTTTTTCAACAATAGATCAACACGCAATGGTTGTCCTTAACTTTTATGTATAGACATGTTTAAATATTATCACATTAAGATTTGGAATGGCAAGATAACATATAAAGATGATAATGAATGTCTGCGAATAAACACCTCTCATCCCACACCTGTTAAATACATAAATTAAAATACACAAAACTTTTATGAGAATGCAACTAAATATAAATTTTACTGGATGTAATATTATTTATTTCACAAATGAAAATTTAAAATGTTAACTACATCCTGACAAAGCTTATAGTATTTTAAATTATGTAATTATTCCAACAAATTCATAATATTTCTTATATACACTAGTGTATCTCGAAATATAAATGTAGTCAATGAGTCATTAATTTAAAATGAGAAATAAGTCAAACAACTACAATCTTGAAATTAAAAGTGCAAGTACCCACTTCGGAGTATGAGTTAATGACTTAATTCGGATATAGCCATATAGGCCCATTATTTGATTACCAAGTAAAATGTAGTTTTAAATTTTCATTTTTTTTTAGAATTTTATTAAGTAAATTTTGGGATTTTTTTTTTAAAAAAATGGTTGATACGGGTATCCGTCAGGATACGAGTATCGGAAACTTTCAAAAAATTACAAAAAAAATGGAAACTTTTAAAAATTGCAGATACGACCCGGGAACGTACGGTACGGGTATCCTAGAGTATCGGATACGGGAACGTATCCGATACGCCGATACGCTACCCTAGGGAAGTATCCGTGCTTCATAGACTGTAACTAAATTTTATGAATGACGTACTTCATCATCTAAAATTTAGTTCTTACAAATAAATTCTCAATCTACTTTATTTTTCATTACAAATATAAAAAGGATGCTGAATCCGTGTCATACAAATTAATACGTAGTAAGTAGAGGTTCTCAAAAAGTTACGTGGTATAAATAAGGTGGATTCTATAGAATCGTACAATATTTTGTTTCCATATCAATATGCAATAAAAATAGAATGTAATAAAAAATAAAAAGCATAAAAAGTAATTAATAATTATTATATATGATGACATGGCAGGATTATGTGGCACACCGTATGCTCTTAAAAAATTCCTCTTATATATATATATATTGATTGCGGGAATAGTACCCAAATTTTTGTAGCCCCACTAATTCTGTTGGATATTTCTCTTTAGTCTGAAACATGGTTACCCAAAATTATAACACTAAATCAAAGTTTTTATTTAAAACAAATTAAATTAACATTTACGATCACAATTTTCTCCAAAAGCAACAATTTCAAAAACGGTGTAATCCAACTACCCAAGATATACAACACCATTGTCTCCAAAAGCCTAGGAAATAAAATAGGAAATGTTATATCACATCTATCTCATTTTATGTGTTCTACTTTAGTTCGACACAATTTTTAATAAAATAATTGAAAAAGTAAAAGTTGTGGTTTAGATTTGAATAAAATAAAGTGAAAGGATGTGATTCACATATTTCTTTTCAAAAATGAAAATGTGACACTTATTTTGGGATAACCTAAAAAAGAAAGTCAGACATGTAAAATGAGACAGATGAAATATTTAATTTTTGTCATTCATTTTTGAAAACGTATTATTAATATTCTGATAAATTGAGGGCCCGTTTGGTAACCCTGTTTTCCGGCTTATCAGTCACTTTTTTCATCAAACACGTAACTTTTGATTTCACGCTCTGAATTGTGTAATAATAAGAATAAGTAAGGTTGAAGTTACTTTTCTGACTATATTGACTGAAGTTATTGTAGAAGATCATTTTAGCTATTTTTTGTATATTTTTTTCTTTATTTTACCAATAAATTATATTTTAATTTTTTTCCCCATAAATCAGCAGAATCAGTCAATCCAACCACCTCAATCGGAACTTCATAAATTTCAGCAGAATAAGCTGATTTAGCCGATTTTGATATTACCAAATCGGCTCTTAATATATTTATGGCCTCCTTTCCTACCTCCATAATTAATGTTTAGGTTCAATTTACATATTTATGAGAGTTGGTAATGTTTAATTGGAGACAAATTGGGACCACAAAAAAGATTGATGAGCAACAATCAATAATGTACGTGTGTACGTATCCACCGGGCTACTCCTTGCTCGCCTAATTCAACTTTTTACCTCCTTATCCTTAAGATACAACCCAGTTTAGCCTTACGCCTTTCTAAAATACGGCCCAA